ATACAATAGAACTGGAACCCTCTGAGTACAATATCATTTGTGGTGGTAGTACATTCATTAATCTCCCTGAGTTGTGACCACATTGCCTGTTTCGGTTGATGTACATATAGGTAACACCAGGAGAACCATTCTTCATCAGGCTACTTTATATCTTGGCAGGTTAAGAAGAATGTGTAAAACTTAAAATGAGAAATTAAATTTGTCAAAATTTCCAACCAAGGGCTACAAGATTAGTATAAGATTGTCACACACTAGGTACATATGTTTCTATTTACAAAGTTACCATAAATGATGATCAGTCAACTTAAATAGGTCTTTTGCTGAACCTAGCCTTCATATATGTACCCGCAAAATCTGTTATTTAACCAAGGACAAACAGAACACCAGGAATGCTGCTTTTTTTTTAATTTAGGAAATGGAACAGATTTGACCTAATAAAATTCATCAGAAATCCAAGATTTTACAATAGAGTGTAAGGAAGTGCGTTTGCCTAGATTTGTCAGTAGTAACCTTGTATTGCTATCTGTGTGAAGAGACCTTTGTAAGACAGTGATTAGGTGCACTATTTTATCAGTAGGGGGCACCTGCCCACATTTCCTGTTTGTTGTTCCTCCTCCACATTCAGGTATGTGGAAGAGTTCCACCTAGAATCCATGACTGTCCAACTTTCACCTAGTCTCAATTCTTTCCTGTATGCTTTCAGTCTTCAGATTGTTTATTCCATACTTTTTTTTTGTATTCAGCTGAACTTAGTCACCAATATCTACCTGAAATCTGATAACAGGATGTAATTTTTTTTTTTTAGGATTAGTTTTCCTATCAAATTAATCATCGAATCATATTTTTTTCCTATATATGCAATCCTATACTTAAAACCTTTAATGTTTCTTCCATATATTTTGTGGTACCTGTGTTAATTAAGAAATTTGCCACACCCTCCTTTCCTATACTTTTATTTTACTGGTGTATGCCTGCATTACACATAGAGAAATGCCTGTCCATTAAATGTGGCCTGGATTGATGTTTGAGCTGGTCAGATAACCTACATTGTATTCTGTGTTATTGACTGTAGTTTATCTAATGTAGCAACTATCTACCTGCCTATCTATAAGACATACTGGTTTGATATCTAAATCCCTCAAGACCTAAGGTCATATTATCACCACCACTGCCGAATACCTGCGCAAGATTGAATTATTATTTCCTGTTCTCCATTCAACCAAAAACAAATTCTATACACCTGAGTTGTCAAATCACCAGCACTGCCTCTGTGTGTGTGTGTGTATAGAAAAACAGGAAAATTTTAAATAGCCAAGTCCCTGATTTCCTACCTGAGTGAGAGGTTTACATCACAAGTCATGTGACCAGTGGCCTCAATGACTATAACAATATGGGTTGGTTAGACGTAGACTTCCTATGTAAATAGAGTGCAGTGTTAGCTTCCTACAGGCCACTAGGCGGTGTGACACAGGAATCCTCCACAGAAGGAGACTCATTATTAACAGCTTTCTATCTCAATCAACATGAAGCATTTTATCTGCATGGAGAACAGACTTACATGATCATTCTCATCATCGATTTTTTTTTTTTATTCGCTTTCATGCGTGTGTGAGGAAAAAAAACATTTGTGATAATTTTGACATACAGAGTGTTGAACACATTTTTCAGTGCATACAATGTTTATGGATTTAGATTCAGTCCCTATTCTTGATTTGTCACTAAAGAAAAAAACTCGTCATGACTCCGTGGATTCTTATGAGGAGGGTCGCGGTCCCCCCTCGGATAAAGCGGGAGGGGGAACGTACAAGAAAAATCTCATGAAAAGATACTGTAAGTAGTTTCTCTTCATCTTCTCGTCACTTGTAAAAAATACATGGGAACCTATTCCTGTAATATTTGATATGTTGCACTGATTTTACTTGGACACATGTTGCTTGTGTATCAGTGTTTCTGATTCTGCTTTGTCTGAGGTAACACATGTTGTTAGAAATAGCATCAATGGATAAAGAGGGTCATTTGAAAGTGAAGCTAATAAATATAAAATATTGATGAAATGTCTCAAACACTTTCTCATGATTTTCTATTTCTTGACTGTGTCATTTTAATTTGTGACTTTCAATTGAGGGAATGGCCAGTGTTTTTGGCACCTGTTTGGACAGTATACAAACCTTCATAAATCAGCTGAACTTAAAATAGAATACCCTATATCAAATAAATCGGGTTGACAAAATATTGATTTTCTTACTGTTGGCAGTATATTTCTGAAAAGGATTTTAAAGACTTAAGTGAATATTTTAAGGCAGGAAATAGAGAGTTTGATGTTTGTCCTGTATTTATAACCCCCTATTATCCTGATCAGCCCGAGACTGAAGTCATTCTGGTCATGGCCTTTTAACTACCCAAGTTTACTACCTGAATTATTCTAACTAGGTAGAATACAGAGGGACTGTGAAACCTTGGCTCAAACACCCTTTACATTCATGTCAAGCCCGTAGTAGCTATTATGTGTGTAACAAATGGGAGGTCCAGATATTAAACAATTGCATTTATCAGTTGTGAAGATGGGCCCGGTGCCCTTTAACTGTGAATTATGATAGCTTCTGGTCTAAATGTTCAGTCCTACCCTGGGGCCTCGTGAACAGACAAGCATTTCCTATTGTTTTTTGTCTAACAGTTAATATGGCCTTCAAATCCAGCTAGGGACATGTTTTACTTAACTTGTCATCAATTAAATCAGTTTTATATCTTAACAGTGTGATTGACTCATCAAAATTTATTGATGGTGTACTAATTAAAAGCAAGAAAAGTGCCCTGAAGTCTATATTTGGAGATGATGAACATTTTCTCTTTTCAATTTTCTTGTCATTTATTGTACTTTGTACCACACTTACATTAAATGTAAAACCTGACATTAATAAGTCACAGCCACTTAATAAGTCACAGCCACTTGTATTTATCTACAAGATCTGTACTAATGTGTAAAATAATAAAATGCAATTTTTTGTAAAATCTGCAATTTTTATGTACTTGGCTGATAGCATTTATGATCATCAAGAAAGTGCCGTCTTTACATCAGGCAAGTTTTCTAGCTGTGCTTTAACACAGTTCTAGATAATTGGAGCTAATTATGCAACTGTCGTTTATTTTTACCTATCTTTTGCATACTTCCTGTGGATATATACTCCCCCGACTGTATTTTTGTTGGATTTATCCTGCAATTTTCATGATAAAAACCTTGTGTTTCTGCATTACTCTGGAGCATAGATTCATTAGGGTGCTAGGAAGATGTATGATTTTGATAATACAAAGCATAATATTTGTACATTTTTCTGCAATATTCGCCAGGGCTGGGCAACTTCTTGTCTCGATCGGGGTGGTCACTTCCTTAGGCAAACAATGAGCAAGATTACCTGCTTGTAGGCAATTCCTGCCAATTAGTGATAGCTCTAATTGGTTGCAGGTATCAATTAATACCCTTTTCTGCTGCAGTTTATCTTAGGAAAATATGCATTAGTGTAATTAGAAAATGCAAGGAAACAGACTAAAGGATGAGGTTATGACCCATTGTATATTGAAAAAATATGAAACATGTCAGACCAAATCCAAATAAAAGATTTTTTATGATTCCAGAGTCAAAAGTGGAGTCTGCAAAGTTTTTTTTTTAATTCTCTTTCTTCAATTTTTATTTTTTGGTATTTTTTTGAGAAATTCTTTTCTTTTTTTTTTTTTTTACAAGATTTCCCTTGAAAGTATATGACATTTTTGCATAATTGAGATTTCTTAATGCTTGTCATGCCCGGGTTAAAATAGAAGATCAATCTTGAAGATGTTCATTATTCTTCGAACTAAAATGAAAAATTCATAAATAAAATATTAAGCTGTTCTTTGAGGGAATAACTCTAGCATTTCCAATTTGCAGATGGGCCCGATTTCAATTTCATTTTTTAATTTATTTTGAAATGTCATTCTTCATGGTCTGTTTGTCTGCTGGTACACTAATATTTTGAACTTGTTTCAACATGAGTATGGCAGGTCAAATGGCTCTCCTCCCACGTTAGGGTTTCCTTGATGGCCGTGTGTGTATTTTGCTTATCCCTGAGTAAATGTTGTCGATGGATCATGCCCAAAGTCAACAGGGATATTGTGTCTTTAATATTCATCTTACCTTCGCTGCTTATCATGCATGAAGACAAATGGCAAAACAGAATATGACTTAGCTATTATCAAATAAAACGTCAGTAGAATTTTACAGAAGAGTTACCATCTTGTAAAGGGAAGTGACATTTAGTGGTCTCATTTCCCAGAGGTGGCTTTTTTTGTTTTATGTTTTTTAATGCGGCCATTAATATTGTCTAAGCAAAGATCTATGAAATTATAATCATGTTCATGATTCAGAGCTTATAAGAAATTCATACTGTAGAATATTTTATTTAGAAAACATAACAAATAGACTGTCTTCAGTATTTCTTTCCTGTGTGATCACGTTTGCTTCCTGTGTATTGTATATGAGGAAACAAGGAATATTTTTTTTACCTGCATTAAGAACAATTTGAATTATTTGTAACTTCCATAAAGCAGTTGGCCGCGCTCCAACTCCTTTATCCCAGAGCGGCCCAGGTGCTGTCTTCCTTTCTCTGCTTTGTACTTCCTGTCACACGCTAGCTGCCGTCAGGCATCGGAATATATCATATAAAAAATGCAGCAAATGTCGAGGAGTAAAAAGAAAATTGATCAGTCAGTTGTAAAATTAGAGCACTTTGTTCCTTTTAAAAAAAAAAAAAAAAAGTATGAAAATTCTTAATTCACGCTCCCCTTTTTTATGCATTCTGAATAAAGGTTACATATAGTGGTTTTGTGGTAATATGTGATATCATCTTTACTCACAGATATTCTAGTTATTAATCAGTTAATCTCCCAGCCTTTGTGGTGGCTGTGGAAATGACACCTTTTGCCATGGGTTTACCTAATAGTTAGTTTTACGGCTCTTGATCTATTTACAGTGGATGCCTGCGAACAGCAGACCAAGAGCAATGGCAGACAAGAGGCAGCAGAGGCGTTATTGTGCATGGAGTCCCCAACCTCAGAGAACAAAACTTTCCTCCAGGGGATATGTCAGCCTCAACATGGTAAGCAAAAATAATTATAACCCCCCCCCCCCCCACACACACACACACACACACACCACCACCATCATCAACCTACAAATGCAGCCCACGCACCAAAATTATTAAAAATAGTGTGCATGAATAGCATTTAAAGTCTCTTCAAGTTATATGTCCTGGGAAAGAGTTGTTTTTTTCTAAGTAAGGATTTGGTATATTGCAAAATAAGAACCATTTGCCAACTTTAATGTGTGTCAAAAAGGATGGTATAAAACCTGTTTCAATTAGAATTTCAGCTATTTCAGTGGCTTGTAAAACAGTAATATGCTTTTAGAATTTGTGGATAACAAGATTTTCCAGCTGAGTTGCTTTGTAAGGGTTTAAACACGGAAATACTGGCACACAAAGAAGTTTTAACTAGAAGTATGTCACAGGAAGCACATTTATTTCAGATAAAGCTAGAGCTGGGTTTTAAACCTTTTCATTTGCACCTTACATCTTTGGCCAAATCCTGTTCTGAATAGCAATTTTTTTGAATTTGAGATCTCAACCATAACAAAAGTTTAAATGCTTATCGTAAAATTTCCTTCCTTGTTCCCTAGCAGAGCTGGCAATATCACTGACATTTGGCTTTTGTTATATGGTTTGGGTTTATCTATATAAATGAACTTTTTTGTAAAGAGGATACATATTTGATGTATGATTTCCTTGATTACAAGACTCAAGTTGCCTATTCTGTTGATGTAGGAAAGATTAGTTTTCTAATTTCCTTATTTTTTGGGCTGAAATGTTCAGGCTTTAGCAACAGGCCAAGATAAAAATGTTAGCCTTCACACTAGAAAAGATAGTCAAGTAGGAAGGAAGAGATACAGCTATGATAATCAATGACCTTCACATGTCAAGATCAAATTCAATTTATAAATAGTTCAAATTATCTACCAGATTTTTGTAACATCACATCATTTTATAAATGCTTGATGGATATTTCAGATTCCTTTATCTGATATATTTTTGATGAGCACTTACGTTTCTAATTTTAGCATCCTTACCCCCCAGTCCTGACAGTGGATATTCAGATGACTACTCAGACGAAAAACTCAAATTCAGCAGTAAGTTTTTTTTTTAAACATTTTTAAAATTTGTACAGGTAACATATTTCAACTTCTTTCTATTTAGGAAGGATGATTTTAATACATTTTTGTTCTTTTTTTCAGCATACTTGGGCCACACCTCTCAACAGTCACCATCCATTGTGGCACCACCCTCAGCATTCATCCCCCCATACTGTCAGCTGGCCCTCCAGCCCCCACCCGCTCATCAGCCCCTCCCAGCTCATTTCAACTCCTCCACACACATTGCCATGAGGCCAGGTGAGACAGTTAGATATGTCCAGCTAATGCAGCTAATTATTGCCTTCATTTTGTCTTCGTATAGTTCATTTAAACCAATACCCATCAATTATACCCGAATTTGTATATTACTGCTATTTTTATCTTCAGAGACAATTTACCTTTAATCTCACTTGTACTTGGTACACTAAATGACTTAATTACACACCTAAATGGGAAAAGTGTCATGTAGATATTACAAAAACCCATTTACAAAGTCACATTTTACTTTATTAGGGGAATTTCTTGGCAAGCAAATGTATATATTTTATTTTAAAACATAATTTTATGAAAATGAGTCAAGTTGTTTATATAATTAAGTATAGCTGTTTATTTGCTTTGCGCTAATTAAAACGCAGTTGGGTTTGGAAGACAGATGGTGTGTTAGTTAGGAGATGACAGTAGCCATCGTGTGATAAGTTACCGCGGCTCACCTTCCGTGCGGAAGGTCAGTGCGGCAGAGAACTGGAAGCGTGGCACCATTATCAGTACTTTGTTTTTGTTATTTAGGTACATACATTTAAATGCTGTTTAATCCTAGAGAGAGAGAGTGGGCTGATTGTTATGGAGATATTGATTTTTGTTTTGGATTCTTAGTCTGTGCTTTTTTTGTCAGGAAATTGTCTTCCTGTCCTCGATAATACCCGTCAGACTAGGTCAGGCTTGGAGCCATGTCACTCCAGATCACGGGCGATCGCGCGTGCAGAATATCTCACTATTACATATACAGAAAAGTTACATTTATCTGGGGTAAACTTGAAATGAATTTGATCATTTTGACAATGCCTGACAGTTATTGTTACATATTATGCAATAACACATCCATCTGTTAGCTTGATAAAAACAAGATGTGTATTTCTCTTTGTTATAACCAATTATTATGAATCTCACACATCTAAGAGTGGTTGTACTTCTACATTAGTTTGGCTTCTTCAGTACCATACTTCTGTACTAGTGGGGTTTCCTGATTTGATGACATTATGGAGCCTGAGTCAATGGCCTATAGTTCCTTGGGTTATGTGGTCTTGTTGAACTTTGAGTTTCTAGAAGTAAAGATTAATTATCTCCTGTTGTTGTGAAATGAATGCCATCTTGGCTTTTAAGTCACTTACACTAGGTGTGCACTGAGAGGTATTGTGTGCGTTATAAAATGGCTGTTTTTTTAAATAAAAGCTGCATCCACTGTTCACTGACACGCCTGTGTATAATAATTACCTACAGGCAATCCTTCTAGCAGATGCTGACAATGTGCTTTGTATGATTAGTTGACCAAATTCTTGTTTTACAGAACATAACTTGTACCCATCATCCAGTCCACTGCTAGCATCTCCACGAATCCCCTCACATAGCGAAACGTGCCACACCCCCACAACGAACTCCCCACCCTCATCCCCCATACGACATAAAAGCAAGAAAGGTAGGTTTCACTTTCACATTTATATTAAATAGCACATTTAAAATAAGAAATCAGATTAAATAAAAGGTAAACTAATTATATTAAAAAGAATGCAATTTATAAATTGCAATTGGTCTTGAAATGAAAATTAGGTAGGAAATTTGAAAACCTCTGTTCCAGAAGAACAGTAGGAAAAATTTACATAAATAGGAAATAAAACTCAACTATGTGGGCATGTCCTCAGAGTATCTAGTACTAAATGTTGGTCAGATAAGAAATTGGATCAAACTAGCAATGAATGTCAAGGTTGATATGTTTTACATGGACAGAGTTTTGTCCTAGCCTAGTGGGACATTAACTGTCGATTTATGAATCCATTACACCCCCACATTGCCAGTTACTGACAACATATTTTCACGTGTCTCAAACACAGTGCATGTGTTTTATTCACCACTTAATGCTCAATTAATGATCAATTTGATACACACTCAACAGTGAGAGTCCCAATATATCTGTCATACCATAACTTACAAAATTAACTACATCAGGTTTTTGCTTCATTTACAGGAAGGAAACCTAAAAATCCATTGGAATGTCCCATCAATCAGCCAAAAAGGAAGCGAGAAAGTAAGTTATCAATCAACAGTGATCAGTTATAATTTAAACATTACAAATAATACAAGAACAATGCTTTCCTGAGTGGGCTATATTTAGACATCAGCTGTTATTGATATTGAATGTTTTGTGTGTTTTTCAGGTTCCACAACATATCTCTGGGAATTCCTGCTACAGCTTCTACAGAATAGGGAAACCTGCCCCAGATACATCAAGTGGACCAACCGGGAAAAGGGGATCTTCAAACTGGTCGATTCCAAGGCTGTCTCCAAACTCTGGGGGCTCCACAAGAACAAACCTGACATGAACTACGAAACGATGGGTAGAGCCTTACGGTAAGGCCCTGGATTACATCAGCACTATTTATACATAATATTGTACTGGAGAAGGACACAAGAACATACTAAATAAACAAATTAAATAACAAAAAAATAGTTGGGCAACATTTTAACCAGTAAATTACTGCAACCATTTTAAAATATCCAGAATAAATGGTTGATATCGTGTTGGACATATGATACTGGATACAAATCTATTTTGAAGTATCCAGTTAATTAAGAAAACAAAACCACTCCTGTTTAAGAGAGCGCGGTGTTAGTTTTATGGCATTATTAGCATTATACAATCAGAGTGAGGAATTTACTTTTAATTAAAAATCGTGATAATGATATGGAAATGACTTCCACTGTTGACTAAATTGAGGCCTATGGTTAATGCTTTGGCATTTTCGATTCTACCTGCGGGACACTGCTTTATTATTTGTCCGTTCTACCACCTACAATCAGCCGTCCTTCTTACTGCTTTCTCTGATTGATAATTATAACTTAGAATAATGATTACATGCTTCAAGATTTATTCCACTTCTTAGTGCAGACTATTAATGTACTGCTTTAATTCGATGAAATGCATTACATTGAATATTTTTCTTAAATTATATATCACATTTTGTCTTTCATTCACATTTTCCTGTAAGTTTATGAAAAAGAAGTCTGGTGCAAAAGATTTTAGCAATTTAAAACTGATAAAAATAACTCAAGTCTTACAGAAGTACTAAACAGAGAACAATATTTTACAATAACATGCATAAAAAAAAATGCTCAATTGATGAACATAGAATTAGCAAAATTAATTATACATCTAAAAAATTTAAATAAAGATTATGAATTAATAATTTCTAACTTTTTTTATAGGTATTACTATGCTCGAGGGATTCTAAATAAAGTGGATGGGCAGCGTCTAGTTTATCAATTTGCTGAGGTTCCAAAAGCAATCTTGGAGATCGATTGTTCAAATGTGTGAAGAAAACACAAACATTCCATATGGACAAGATTTCTCCATGCGCTCCAGACATGATGGGTTATTATAAGTGATAAAGGCCCTAGTTTTCTGGTTTGAGACTGTACCATTGTAGAAACAGAAGCTGGTGCTATCCTTTCCCGAGCTTGGAGCTGTTCTGTATCTCAGGTGTCCTGTCTATTGGGTTCCTCCTTATGATGCTAGTCTGTGAAGCAAGATTCAAGTCAACGAACATTGATGCTGTCCGGGAGGGGTGCCTACCTCTGCCGTGACCGGGTCTGCTGGATGTGATCCAGTGTTGTGTGATAGGGACACACGGAGACTGTAAAGGACTTCTACAATCCTAGTAGAACTGTTCCCTAGCTGTGTGATACTGTGAATTCCAAGTGTGTAGACTGAGTGTGCCATATTGTGTGAGAGAGATAGCATGTCTGTGTTTCTGTGTGTGTGTGTGACTTTCTCTGGACCAAATCTGTTCCCACTGTGTGATCCTGTGTTTGTCCAGTGTGCTGCTTTGTCACAGCATCTGAATCATAATAAAGTTATGATGAGAGAAGCAAAGGCTAAGCTTTAATTGATGTTTGTACATAATTCTGATTGTACCCTCTATTTCTTGGTTTATGAGATGTTTTGGTGTGTTTTATATGTAGAGCCACCACTGGACATGAACGGGACGTTCCTTACATTCCTTATTCTGACCACTATACCTTCCAAGTTTTTGTCTGTTATATCTTTTTGTTATCTGTTAACTGATTGGATACTGACAAGAGCAGGGCATTCTGGGTTTTAGCACACATTTTACAATGAGGATAGATATTAGATAGTGTTATTTTATAAATGAACTGTATTTTAATATACAAATCTACATCAGGCATTATTGATGTAAAGGCTTGTAATGTATGTGCCTCTAAACTGAGATTCCTATTTTTATACTGTTTATGGGTGGTTGTTTGGGCCATTCCTGTTTGTTAATTATCAGGAAATCTGTGTATTTATCAGCTAAACTGTCTTTGTACGACAGATCATTGATTTTACATCTTGTTGTTTTAAAATATTTAACAATAATATTGTTGAGAAATTATCAACTTGGCTATCTAAAATTTATTAGCTTTTCCACACATGAAATGTCATGGATAATATCATTAAAATGTGATAATATGTCTGACAAATATTGTGCAAAATGTTCTTCAGATTTAGATCATCAAGATTTGGTTATAAAAGATCCGTATCTGTAAGACTGCTGTCTACAAACTAACTGCTAAAAGTGCAATTTCATAAAATGGATGTTTTCGAGTTGTCAGCTTTTGTAACTATGCTAACAGAACATTATGTAAGATTTAAGTGTGGTACTCTGAATCCATTTCCTGGCATATCTAGTTCATTTTCCAGTGCCTTACTTCTAACAATCAATTGTACTGGTCTTCTGTGAGTACCAGTATGCAATCAATATTCCTGATTCTCTTTTAATTAAAAAAAAAAATCGCTAATTAATACAGACAACATGTAATATATCTGAATATTTCTATAGTTTTAACATGAAATTTGATTTTGCATTAACCAAATAGAATAATTCCCAAAAGTAAATACTTTTTTGTTGCACAAAAGTAAAATATCATTACCAAAGAGTAGAAGCCATTAAGTTTTTGCTGGGTTTGGCAGCGTTAAATTGTTGCTCAATATTCAGACTTGTCAGGCAGGGCCAGTCTGTGTTGTTGTAACTGTGTGATCTGTTCTTATGTCAGTTATCTATTAAAATTTCCTGTTTTACCTTAATATTGTGTTCATTTCTTATTTCTCCAAAAGAGGGAGCAGTGTAAAGGGAAGTAACTCTCTTGAGAGATGATTCAAATTAAGAGGACTGGGTGGTTGTGGCCATTTTAGACTACTCAGTATATTGTTCTCCTTTAGAAGAGGAGCTTCATATAAAAAAGTCTTGAAATTTTTATGAATTTTTTTCTTTGCCAAATGATGGTTGACAGCTAAAGATATAGCAAAAAAATTATCTATATCTGTTTTTTATTTGTTAACTCCCAGCCTCCTTAATTGTAAGCAATATTTTATTTTCTGAAATAAACGTAATTTAAGGATTGAACAGCAAGCAATACCTACATGTATATATAGGTCCTCTCTTTCAAACTTGAAAATGTGAGTCAAATGCAATACAGTGACGTATTGGAAATTTAATCTGCCCACTGTAATAAGAGAGGGAAGATAAATATGAATATTTACCTGTACACCTAACATCAAGACACCCAAGAAAGTACGATAGAAAGGAGTGACTTAAAGTACACAGGATTACTAAGTGTAACCGCCTGAACTCTTTATATACTTGAATTCTTTAAAAAATTTCATTTACGTTAATAAGCATTTAACTGTATGCATCAATTTTAATTATACTGACGTTTTATAGCCCTGACGAAAAGCCATGGGACAGTATGATGGAGTATTAATTCAGTTAACAATTATTCAAGTCCTACCACAAGAAGAAAGTCTTTTATCTTGGTCTTTATTTAGCCCCTCTTAAGTCTTGGTGTATGTTGTTTGGTGATTTCGATACACGTATCCTTACCCAGACCATCTAGTCCGAAAAATTTTAGTTTTCCAGGCCTTTTCATGATTTTGATACTGTAAAATCACATATTTTCGTGGGATCAGATTTTCGAGGTTTGGAGGGGAAAATATTGGTTTGTGGGGATTTGATTTCGTGGTTGGAGAATGTTTTCTAAGCAATGAATATGAAATTTTACATTTCGTGGTGGTCATTAATTCGTGGGTCTCTCAAAAAAACCTCGAAAACAACGAAAATTAAACACCCATAAAAATTAGGGATTTCCCAGTATTTTACGTGCCGGAAAATATCAAACTCGTCAAAAAGCCAGGAAAACGTCAGATTTCGTACTATAGAAACCCTTGGCAAGCGAAGATGTACCCAGACGCGAAGTAAGGAGTTATTTTAATGTCAAGGGTTCGAATCCAACTGAGGGATACGGATGAAATTGGAATTTCAACCTAAATCCTTTAATTTATTTTTAGTATTGCCGTCTTTCCAAAACTAATCCCTACCTGTGTACTAAATGAAGCCTACACCTTTCCACATGTACTGTATTCGTCATTTCTGTATCTGTATTTTGAAATAAAATTCTTAAATTAAGTTTTGACCTTCTTTCTTGTGAAGTCTTAGGATTAAACAAATAATTGCACAACAGAAATGTGAAATGTGCCTATCAATTTTCCAGGCCTGTGACATTTCATTAACTGATCCCCAAAACTAAAGGCGTCTTCCTCCAGTGACCTCTCTTCTAATTAATTAATATGAATTTCGAAGATTGAATAGTTATCTAGTTTAACATATAAGACAAAGGTCTAAATCTAAAAATAAATAAATGGAAAATAAATTAAAATGTTCAATAGGTTTTCAAACTATAGTTACATGTAAAAGGAGGTACAACACAACTATAGTTCTCTATAGAGACAGAATGGATTAGTAAGTCGTATAGCTTACAATCCTAGAATAAAAAAAGATATATATAAATTCTTCGAAATTTAACTGACTTCTTTTTATTGTAAAATTGGTATATGTACTACCATAGACCTTCTTCCAATTAGCATTCAATTCTTTAACTATGCCAACAGTCTCAGAAATGTAAACGCGTGCATAGCTGACTTCAGCTAAATATGTGGCTTTTAAATATCTCTTGAAATTAATTACATTACATGTATGCATGTATGTTTATATTTAGTTAACCTACTTGCAGGGGGAATCCGTGTCTCGCTCATTCTAATTTTGACCATTTAGCACGTGAAGTTCTTTAAGCATGTCCGCATTCCTCTGGTCGCCCTATGTCCTGTTCCTTACGGCAGTGAGGGGTCTAGGTGTCTAATTTGTCAACGTCGCACGCGGTGCAAGCTAGGGACGGGAAATGAAGTTTACATTTACATTTATCATAAATCTATATACAGCCCTAGAGCCATCTGTTGTGGAAACGCCCGAGCACTGCGTTATACCACTGCCGGGGGATGAGAGTCAGATTCGGCCGCTCTCCTTGTGTAATTCGTTTGTTTGCTCTTTAGTTCTTTCTCTTCTTAATTACCTTTAACAGTTCTACACTCAAAATAAAACTACCTAAACTTAATAAAATATGTGTTGAACTCAGTAGTATCTTTATTTTAACGTCTCTGAGATATACGTAGTCGACATAGGATGGAAGTAAAAATACTTTGTCGAAAAATATTTAAATGTCGAGTTGAAGACAACAGTAAGTGTTTTCTTCTAATGAACAAGGTCTTGAATAAATTTTGCTTCATGTGAATACAAGAATAGGTCTGCTGATTACATCGGGGAGCAATTGGTACCCATGGGAATTCCGACAAAGTATTTAAAGACCCGATCTCGAAAAACTACGAGATATTGTCAATCAGAGACTTGTCAAGCATTTATTTTTAATATAAACTTCAGTTGAATTCCGTTTTTTTTTCTGAAAAAAAAGCAGCTGCCAATACAAAGAGTTGAAATATATTTTTATGTGATTGACTTTTGTTGAATTATGTGATTTCAATATTTTTTTCAAAAACTTTCTTTGGAATTATGAAGTATCCACATGTAGCTGCAGATCTGTAGCGTTATGGTTTTACATATTAATTTATATATTTGTCTTTGACCATAACGTAGCTTTATGGTCAAACACAAATAAACTAGAGGTACTGTGAGCAATGAGCTCACTAAATGATACCCCCGGCCTCCCATATGGTTATAAGGCAAAGTCCATGTTTTGCTGTGGCCGGGAAACCCAAAATATGTGTCGGATCAAAAGGTAAAATAGGAGGTGCACAATGGCAATATGAAATAAAGATTCTGTGAAAGTTTCATTAAATTTCACTCAGTGGTATAAGAGGAGTTGCAGATAAAAGATGGATACCCCAAAGCACAACAGACAGACGGACGGACATACCGATTACAGTATACCTCCCACTTTTCAAGCGGGGGGTATAATAAAACCATAACGCTACAGATCTGCAGCTACCACATCTGAAACACAACTCTCTCGAATATATTTCGGTGTACAGTTGTTGTTCCGAAGTTTTTCCTTCATTGCTGTTAATTAATATTTTAATGGACAGTAAATCAAGAGTCTTGGTAGAACATTTACTGGAACCTTGCTAGGTATTTTTATAATAATTTTTATGAACTTTAACTCAATTTTAGCGATAATATGTGATTAATTTTAGCCATGATTGATCGAGAAATGTGCAGATTTGTGCGTACAATTTTTCAAATTTAAATATAAATCTTTCATTAAAAACCATCCTTCAGTCAAGATGAAACTAAAGATATTGTGAGCACTGAGCTCACTAAATGACAACCTGCTCCATGTTTTGCTCTGGGAGACCCGAAATAAGTATCAGATCAAAAAGTAAAATAGAAGGTGCACAGTGATATATTATACGAGTATATGTAATAAAGAATCTGTGAAAGTATCATTAAATTTTATTCGGTGATTTTGGCTCAGTGCTCACAGTACCTCCAATTTTGCTGATGGTTTCTCGAATTTTTAAAATAGAAAATCAGTCACATGCTATCAATGCCTTAAAAAATATAAACATGTGAATGTTCATACAAATTCAAATAACGCTGTTACATATTTCTTACATCTAGTAATATAATAATTATGTATGTCACCTTACAGTGAAAAGGAAAAGTACACGACATACCATGAAATCTCTCCTAGCTCCATGCAGAGATAAAACCTAGTTATCATTAACGAGTATCCAGTTTCAAGATTGACCTAATATAAACGTGTGAAGTATTCAAGTATTGTTTATTGAAAACTGATTGCAAATATAAAAAAAACATGGAAAGAAATCGAATATATGGTGTCCTTACTAGATTCCAAAATATATAAGAAGTTCCTTAATACAAAGATACATTTTTTACCATACACCTAACTTCACTCACAGAAGTGAAGAAAGAAACTTAAAAAATACAGTTCAACAAAATACAGCACTTGGGTATTCGAAAAGTGGTGTAAATAAGATGTGGATACTAAAGAATTTCAAGGAACTTCTGGAACATTTGAAATCAAAAATTTTTACCAAATCAACGACATAAAAACTTAAGACGTTTCAATTTACACACAACTATTCCCCACGATAAATTAAAGTCCTGACTTACTGATATCATTGACAGCTGCTTTTTCAATAAAAATGGACCTCGTAAATTTACTAACCTTGTCACTGGTCATTTGCAAAATTACCTTGTTAAAAACAATCTGATTGGACACACAAGTACTCTGAAGTTGACATTAAAAAGATGCTCGAGTTTCTGATTGACAATATCTATGTGGTATTTATAGACCAGGTCTTCCAACAATCTATTGAAATTCCCATGGGTACCAATTGCGCTACGTTATTAGCAGACCGATTTTAGTATTCAAATGAAGCAGAATTTGTTAAAAATCTTTGAATACATGAAAAGAAGAAAACATTTGCTATTGCCTTCAACTCGACATTTAGATGTATCGACGACGTATTGTCAATTAACAATAGTTATTTGCATTTTTAAGTCGACACGATATATCCGAATGAGCTTGAAAACATACCACAGGGTGTAACACATCTGTTTCATGTTTGGATCTTTTAATTGAAAAAGAAATAAATGTTTATCTTACAACGAGGCTTTATGATAAACGTGATGACCTTAACTATGGAAGCGCCAAATTCCCTTACTTATGCAGCAATATAATGAGTACATTTTTCACCTGCGCATACTATGTTTA